GCTGGAGCCAAACTACGTAAAGTACATAGGGTGAGCCACCCTGGATGAAGCTCAGGAGGCGCTGATCCAGTTATTCTGGTTTTTTTTTATTAGTACTTAATTAGTGACGTCATGCTATTCAGGTATTTCATGGGAAGAAAGGAGACAAAAAGTGCTCTAAGTCCAGAAACACTTAGAGCAAACATCTGAAACTCCTTTTATAATGTGCTCTTCAGGATGAGAGCAGTCCGCCTGGGTCCAGTGGCAAAAGTGACTCCAACCGATCTAGTGGTGGCAGTGGCGGTGGTGGGGAGGGACTGATGCAGGAAATGAATGCTTTACTAGCTCGCAGGTGAAACACCTACACAAACCCACACACAGCCTTTATTTTCCAATCAAATTAACCATGCATAGAGCACAAAAGAAATGTTCTGTCAGCCATTCTGTCACATGTTATGCCAATATTAGGCCATGCAGGTTGTTTTCCATGCAGTACATTATCTCAGAAAGGAAGCAAACTTTTGTACTGTTACTTTCTCAGTCTTTTTATAGACTACTTGTAAAATATTTCTCTCATCTAATTTTTTATCTCATTGCTTGCTCATGTCCTCATTCCCCCCTCACAGACGGAAAGCTTCAGAGAAACCTGATGAAGTAAGTCTTGTGCCTTTAAAGCAATTGTTTCACATTCTGAGAAACAAATAAACAAAAACACTAATCTGTCTATTAAATATGAAGCTACTGCCAGGACACAGTTAGAGTAAACTGAGGCAGTTGTGGCTGAGGAGGTACAGCGGGTCATCTCCTAACCGGAGGGTGGTGGTTTGAATCCCAGTTTTTCCAGTTCACGCGTCGAAGTGTCTTTGGGCAAGACATTGAACCCCAAGTTTGTGTGCGTGAATGGAAAATGGCATAAAAGTGCTTTGAGTGTGGTTCACTGCATAGAAAAGCACTATACAAAAGCTATTTACCATTAATGGAAACAGGGGAAATAGCTAATGCTAGGTAACAACAAACTGTGGTTTTACAGGGGCTCATGTGCTGCACGTCTTAACTGGGCACAGTAAAAAATAATAGTCAACATATGACATGAAACCACAGCTTGCTATTTTTACTTTTTGGTTACCGTAGTTAAATTGAATAAACAAGATATGATGTATAAGCTAGTGAGCCTTAGACAGTTAGGCTAGCTATAGTCTTTAAGCTAAATTAGCCATGTTTTGGTGGTAGCTTCCCATTTATTGTACAGACATTAGGGTGATATCAAATTCATAGCAAGAAAGCAAGCAAATGTCAAACTATTTCTTCAAGGTGTCAGTTCAAATTTAACCTATATGGAAAACTATAGTAAAACCAGTTGACAATTATCATTGTTATTCATTTTTGTTATTCATAATTTTCTCTCTCCTGCAGGATGACTCCAGTGGCCGAGGTCAGCAGAACTCAACAGGTATAGAACAGTCCTCTTCAATTTATTGAATAACAAAACAGATTTATTATAAGATTACAAGTTTTATGTTATCTTTTGTGGTGTATCATAGTCTGCTTTTTGAAGTTGGTTGGATTTATGTCCTTTATTCTTTCCTCCTTGCTAGATGCTGTGAAGAAACCATGGGAGCGATCCAACTCGGCAGAAAAGTCCTCGCTGATTTCCAGGTCTGCAGATAAAGAGTTGTGGGGGTGTGACCTGAATATGACATGGATAGGAAATTTATAGCAGTAACCACAGGGATTTCAGAATAAACCTCAGCCTTTGCACTACAGGCATGAGTGCAAGTAACAGAAATGAGATTTTCATAGGAAGAGTCAAAACTTAACTACTGTCCCACCCTTACATATGTAGTCAGTCACACTGTACTGAATAATATTCCTTTGTGTTTCAGAGTGAGACCCGTTGGCAGCACTAATGAATCAGACACAGAGTTTGACAAGATGAAGCAGGTTGGTGTCATCTTTCACAGTTTTATGACATAATTTTTACTTTATACACATTTAATGATTTTACACCCAATTTTTTTGTTGGAAAGAAAATCACAAGCAGTTCTTGTTTTGCAGGAAATTTTGGATGAAGTTGTACGTGAGCTGCATAAGGTGAAAGACGAAATCATTCATGGTAAGCAGTGTATCCAGAATCACACATTTTTTAGCTTCACTCTTTTCCACACACTTGACACCACTGAAACCCTGGCACAAAGAATGAGTACAGTCTTTTTGCTCCAGACAGCCTCCTTCTTTTAGTTTTTTCTCCCAATTGTTAACACACAGTTTTGACAACAGGACTCATTGTCTCAAAACAGCACAATTCCCAGAACACACACCCAAAGTGCAGAACACCTCACACACACTACAAAATGGAAGCGCTACACACAAAACTACAAAAAAAATCTAACTTTTGCACCAAATGCCACATACTTTATATACATTAACTGACTAATTTACAGGAAAATACAAACTGCTGTGCTAAATTCTAAACACATTTATCTTTGGTGACCTTTTACTATGAGGATTCTGCAGGGAAAGACCTTTGAAGTGGAGAGAAATCTGTACAAAATGCAAATTTCACTACAAAAACAAAAATGATTTTTTTTCCCTGCATAACTAATTAATGCTACCATAGCACAGTGAATATTACAGTTGTGCAAATACAACAATACAGTAAAACAATCATGCAGCCTAGCTTGGTCTGGCCACAGCACCTCATTAGCATTACAAGCATTGTCCTCCATGGCTAGAGTGCAAGGGAAGAAACACCTTGAGTGTCATATCCAGGCCTCAGCAGCCACCACACCGATAGCATCACATGCTTCTTTCATTGCTTGTAACAGAGGCCCCAGCAATTCCTCCTCTACATCTGTTCCCTCAATTTTGATCTCTACCTCTACCTGCTAGGTGTAACTTTCACTGTCCCACAGGTGCTCACCTTTAGTCTTGTTTATAGTGAGTCAACAATTGAGCAATAAGGTGTTTTGCAAGGTGCCACAAGTTTTTCTTAAATCGTTCAGGGGTGTGGCATTTTGAATGGCATTGCTTTGAAATGGCAAATAAGTGGCCAATTTCTTCATCCTTTGTTGACATGTCTGTGCAAATTCTCTGTCATCCAGGTCATAGTATGCTGAAAACAACTTGTTTGTAACTTGTAATGACCTGTATATTGGGGAAACAAAACAGCCGCTGCACAAGTGTATGGCCCAACACAGGAGGGCCAACACCAGTGGTCCAGAGTCAGCGGTTCACCTCCACCTGATGGACAAAGGGCATTCTTTTCAGGACATTGAAGTCCGGATCCTCTCCGGAGAACACTGCTTGTTCGAGAGAGAGGAGTCAAAGAAGCAATTTTCTCTAAATAGGGTTGGTGGACTTAGACACACCTTGTCATCCAGCTACAACTCTCTTTTGAAATCTCTACCCAAACATTTCCACCCCAATTTACACCAGGACAATAGGCATTGGTCCACTTGTGAGTGTTCAAAGACAGGTAACGACTCACCGATACCAGACCCCAATGACTCAGTCATTAGGCGACATTGTTGGCCGTGAGAAAGACCGAAACACCACCCAGTGGGATAAATACCTCCTGCTCACCACCAGCCAGACAGAACTGATGAAGCCTCTTGGATGAGAGGTGAAATGTATTCTACCTAAAACTACATCCAGATGCTTTCTTCTAAGTTTTTTTCAGCATCTTCTGTAGAGAACTGTGGTTGCTCTGCAAAAAGTATTATGTTAAATTGCAAATGGGTGCAAAGCAGAAAATGGGTTTTGGTTTCAGTGGCGTTTTGTTAAATGTGCCAAGTATGTTATAAGCTATTATTTCTGTGTAGCTTCTTCCGGTTCTTTCAAACCAGGAACTCTCAATGAGACGAAAGAGACTGCTTTAGATTTTATAAAAAATAACCGTGCTGGTTTATTCAGAGGATCACAGGTAAAATTCACAGGACACGTCCAGAGCTCTCTCACCCCTCTACCTGCGCGCAGGCAGCAGAAAGCTGAGCAAGTCTGGACCCAACAACCTATATAATATTAATCATTTTTGGGCTAGCCCATGCTACAAGGGGCGTCAAACCGTGACGCCACCCGATAAGCAAGCTTTGCAGCTGCTCTATCGTTTAGCCAAAACATGAGGAAAAGTCAAGGTGCGTGACTGTTGTTTTCGTGGTGTGTATCTAAACAATTGGACATAACCTTACACATTAAGACAAATATTAAGACTAGCATTACAGTTGACCCTAAAAGCTCTTTTCCTGTAACCTTGGCGTGCCTGCAATCCCTGCAGGCTGAATAGTTACAGCAAGCTAGTCACCCTGTCTGCACTCAACATTCCTAGACAACAAATCTCTATCCACATCTATCTAACTAAGAAATAACCTAACAATGTCATTTTAGTGTGTTTGCAATTGGAAAAAAAAACAAATGCAAATTTTTTGTTGTTTTTTTTTTCTTGCAGCCATCAGACAAGAAATTGGCAGAATCAGTACATCTTAATCTCATTAGAGCAACTATAGGAGAGCAAGAGGAGGAGCTGGAGAAGGATGGACATGCAGATGCACAGACATGAGGACCAGGGAATGTTCTCTCAATGTTTCTGTGACCTCATGGTGCCATGGTGCAAGTTGCAGAGATGTTGTGCCAACATTTGAGTCTGCTGGACAGCGACAAGGGAAGAATGAAAGAGGTAACAGAGAAGGGTTTAACAAGAAGGAAAAGCAGAAGGATGGATAAGGAAAGATAAAAGAACTTGTGAACTAAACAGAGGATAAATGATATACTAGAAGAAGGCATGGAAAAACATTTGTGCTGAGTTTGGTGTTGTGGTCCTCTCTGTGCACCTATAGACTCAGTCAGCCCAGTGTTGCATTGTTTTGTTCTCCGTTCAGTCCGAGTCTTATGAAGAAAATACTTTTGTTTTCTAAGTTTTTACTGTTTTATTATTTAAAAAATGTGGTGATAATGACGATGCTGTTGATGACAGTATTTTAATCGATATTACAGAAGGCGAAAGGAATCTTGCACACCATTTATGTCAGTCTTTTATATTTTTTATTACTGTTTTGTTTTAGCTTATCCATAACTATTTGATGATAACAAGCACAACATGGGCAAAATGGTGCTGCAGACCCACCTGCCCTCAACTGGCTTTTTAAAAAAGAAAAAAAAGAAGCTTTTTATGACCTTGTCCATACTGGTGGCGTGTGTCTAACCGTTTATCTCCAGAGATGATGGAAAACAATGTTTGAACCGAAACTAATTAACATATTCAAAGCATACCGCAATACAAATGAGCCAATTTTGGCAGTTAATCAAATAACACAGTCTGCTCTACAACTCCAGTGTGACCAAGTTATAGGTCTCTTGACCTTTTCAGATGTGAGATCATTAAAATTTGGGGATTATTCACAAAACAGGCCAATAACTATAAATGTGGCACCTGCTTTTACTTAGATATTAAACATTGTAGTACCTATTAGTCATTCTATGCTTTGGGAACATCCTAAGTATGCATGAAACCCCCCATCACCCCCAGTTTTTCCATTTGGTTTGACAAACAAAAATTCAAACAGTGGCACATTTATTATAGTGGTTTGTTTCCATGAAGTTTCCCTTCTCTACAGTATATGAAACATCTGATAATGGTAGCAGTGTGAATAAATCAAAGAGGGTTGCTTTGGCACTATGCAGATCTTACCTAGATACTGTAAGCATGTGCAGAAAGTGAATGGTAGGCCTATGTGATTGTAGGTTCATGTGCTTTACAGGAAGGATTTGGTTGCCTGTCAGTTGTTGCATTCTGTCCCCTCTGTCCGCTCTCAATGACATTCTAATTTAAAAGCTCAAGTAAATTTCATTCAAATAACAAACAATATATATGTTAACCATCTACATAATATGTGAGTGTGTTCCCTCGTGTTTTGGTACTAGTGGGAAGGTGAAATGGTTTTTACCTTTTGAATTATGTTTAAGCAAATGAAAAGGTCACATCTGGTCACCAGAAAACAGACAGGAAATGCCAGATCAGTCTCCAAGTCATTCTTTATAGTAACATTGTCTTATAAAGATATTTCACTGTTTTTATATACTGTATTGTTATTACATCAGAAACAACAAAGATTATCAATTACAACACAAAATTGTATATACAGTGGGTGGACAAAATAAACACATTACAATACAATAGCCCCACAGAAAATACTAATTTGGTGAAGCATGTAATGTTTATATCCATAAGTCAGAAGTGTTGATCTTTTTGTTGTGTTGTTAAGAGAACTCAGGGCCTACTTGTGATCACCACTTTTTGCTAATGCTGTTTTCTTATGATTGGCCCTTGTGGTAGTCCCCCACCCCCCAACCCTCAACATATATACATGCACTTTGTGCTGGATGTATCATTGTTTCATACGGGATGGCCTATGGGTGGGTAGGTTTTCTTGTGTTGCTTGGATACTTGCTGCATAAAAACTGATTCATACTCAGCTTAAAAAGTCTTGCTTGTGGGCCTTTGGACTAGGAGTTGTTGTCCAATTACTGCTAGATCAGTTGAAAATGGTGGTGCAAATTATTTAGTGTGCCAATCTCTAAACTCTAGAAGATATAGGCCAAATATATTGTAG